TTGTTTTTCTGGGAGCATCAGAAATCAGGGCCCGAAAGCAACAGCCTCCAGCATAATCTCGGGACTTCAAAAAAACGCACACACTCCTTCTTGTTGTTCCAAAGCTTGCCTCCAGTCCTAACTGGAAAAGTGTCAAATTCTGAGCCACCAGACTGCACATGTTCAAATATGCCTGTCCTTGTTTGCACCCAAGAACATTCTCCGTCTCTTTCCCTGCTGAATGCCGAAGACACAATTAATTAACCCCTGCCCCAACGCAGAAAAAAAAGAAAAGTAAAAATAAAACTGGGCATGCTATGTCTGTGCTCAGATATTCCACTCCAACCTGTGCCAACTGGGCAAATCTTTGGGCAAAGGGATCAATGTGTGCTCAGCTGGGTCAGGAGCTCACCAACCCGATCAGGTAAAATGACTGACTCTGGCATTTTCATCCTCCTTGCCCTTGAAAGGTTCTTGTTGGAACCCTGAGGACTAGCAACTTGGCCCCTTGGATTCAAATCGTGCCAACCATGTCGCCCAAATCATATTGCACCAGTTCCAAAACTGGGAATATTTGACTATATGAAAAAGGTCATAGAGTTGCTGGGAGTCGGGTGGCATACAAATTTGATAAATGAATATAAATGTAATAAAGGGATTAATACAAATTATTGTTGTTGTTGACATCAACATGCCGAGTAAAAGCAAAAAACCAACTGCATCAACTCAAAGTGGAATTACAAGGAGTTGGGTGTGGTTTGTGGGGCGGGCAGGGTTACAACTCCATTTCTACAACCACCATCGAGAAACTGAGATAACTATTTAGACATCTTTAGGGCCCGAGAAGTCTTTCTAGCAAACTGGAATCAAGAGCTGAGATTTACACCACTTTCGCTATCCAGTTCAGCCACAGTTCATCAACGTCCATATTTTCCCCACCCGCCCTGATGGAGCAAGTTCTTCCCTCTCTTTTTGCTCCCGGCTATTAAACAGCCGGTTTTCTGCTTCTCACTTTGCAAAAAAGAAAAGAGAAAGAAAAATTGCCTGCTGGAATCTGAAGTGCCAAACTCAGGACTCCCTTATCAGCAGCCCAGAAGTATGAGGAAGTACAGTAGCCCCGAAGAGAACGCTCCTGTTTGAGATTCCTGCAAAGCTGATCTGCAAAATCCTTTCTCCTCCATTCCTTCTTCCACCTCCTGGCCCTGAAAACAAGTTCTTTGGACCTCTCCTCATTTTAGGGGTTTGGCTTCCCCTAAAAAAAATGTCAGGCCCTCCAAACAAATCCCGCGGCTAGAGGGTGCTGGTTTGGCTAAGAAGCTACAACCGGAGATGCAGATTGCTATCGACATCTATGACCACCTTAAATAGGACCACAGCAGCAACCCCCAAGGAGCCCTCAAGAGCTTGCATTTTTGCACAGTATGCAGCTAGGGCTCGGGGCAAAAAGCCAGCAATGGTGGCTGATTGCAGAATGAGAGGTTGCACGAACAAACGAACATTTAAGCCAGATATATAAAGGCCCCCAAGGCTGGAAAGCAGTCTGTGGCAAAAAGCAGGGATGGTGCTGAAAATAAAACACAGCCCCCTCTAAGTATACTTCCGTAAGCATAAATCAGATTTTCTTTAAGCCACTAGTCCTCATGGGGGCTTGAAAACAATCAGCTGACAACTGCCTCCACGTGCTGTTATACCTGCCATTCAATCAACCACTCAGCTTCCTTTTTATTGAACTTAGCAAGGCGCGTGCGGTTTTTAATTTCCATCCCCCTTTTTCATTCTAAAATTGCTTTAAGAAAAGAGTTTAAAATAAACTCTCAAAACATTCTTTAAAATAAACCCTTTTTAAAATAAAACGAGTTTAATTTTAAAATTGCTCTAAGAAAAAAGAACTGAGCAGCAACCGGTGTGGCATGATCGGAAGGACTGCTAAATGTCGCTGAAAGGACAAGGCAGAGAAAGCTGGGGACGGAGAAGACACCCCACCGAAGCAGGATCAATTTCTGCATGGCAGTTGGGGGACAGCTAAGCTACATTCTCACACGGTGCTAAAACGGGTGATTCATGTCTTTCCCTGTTTGGGGTACCCAGCCCTTGCTTTAGCATAGGGGAAACAGCCTATCCAATGGACTCAGATGATGGTTTATTTGCTTGGGCATCCTAGGTCACGTGAACACAGCTACGATGCTTTGCTAACCAGGTTTAGGGCTTCAGAATTCTGTGAGAATTCAGCCACACAGAATTCCATGCCCCTTTTAAGAATAAACCTACATTGCACACTCCATGCCAGGGAAAAGCAATTTGCTTGCATTATACCAGCGTTTCTCAACTTGGCAACTTGAAGACGTGTGGTCTTCAGCTCCCAGAATTCCCCAGCTAACACATGTGGACTTCGACTCCCCCCAATCCCTTCCCTTCCTTGCGGGGGGATATGGGGGGGGAGGGCGTACATATACCACTATGCCATCGGCGGGGAAAAGTTCCCTGATATA